GGTTGACATTTATGGATGGATCATGGAATGGATGGTAAAGAGCTTCTGGTGTTATGAATTATCAGTGAGGTTTCTGATTTATTCTGATTTAAAATTGTTCTTTCTGGTTTTTCTGGTCTGTGAAGACTATTTCTGGCTCTCTGGTTTAATCTGGGTTTTTAATCAAGTGAGTCTTTATTTCTTGATTATCTTCTGATAAGGGTTTTGTGGAGTGTTGAATAATATTTCTATTATTTATCTTGTTTCAATGTAAGGGTGAGAAGAGGTTTAAGTAATATTTCTTATTACTATTCTGTATCTGATATGTAAGGGTTGATGAAAGCTAAGTGATATTTCTGATTCCTTTTCTCTACTTATTTTTCTGGTGCAGACATGGGGAGGAAGGAAGGAAAACATGGGCCAGAAGGGCCTCTAGATTTATAGACAAAATCTGTGGTGTGCAGGTGAAAGAGCTACCCTGATCAGAATGGTTGAACTGACTGAGATATGAACAAATGCTGGTGATTTAATGATGTCATGCTAGAAGTTGAATGATCTAAAGCTGTGAATTTAATGATGTGCAAGCTGTGGAGTTAATGATGTGCAGCTGTGTAATCAATAATCTACTTCTATGTTGGTTAATGATGTAATCTGTGTGATTAATGAGCTTTACGTTGTGAAATAATAATAAGTGGCTGTGTAATTAATGGTTTGTGGCTGTGAATTAATGAAGAACAGTTGTGTAATTAATGATGAGCTGCTGCATTAATTAATGATGAACTGCTGAATGATTAATTGGTTTAATGCTATATAAATCTTAATCTTTTTGAGTGGTTTTCTGCCTTATAATCGATTGATTTATTACTGATTCTTCTTTAATTAATTTAAGAACTTTCTTTTTGGTTTTATTAAATTATTCTATTATGTAATTTGAGATAATTTTGTAATATCTGTTTTGTAAATATAGGGCCTTGGAAAAACAACTCCCAATGATTTGTCAACGACTCCCAAATACAGTTGTTGGACGTCCCTTGGGATTTGTTCCTCCAAATGGATGGCCAACTTTGGGAGTCAGCCATCCATTGATATTTTTTTTAATTTCATGGGAGTTGGATCGCAAAACCACCCCTCATGCTTGAGGGGGTTTGGGAGTCATTCCCACATGACCAGAAGGACTTCCTTCCCATTGAGGAGAAACAACAAACCCATAGACCGGAAGGAAGTCCTTCCAGTTGACAAAGTTATTATGCCTCATCGAACGGAAGGGATTCCTTCCTTGATGAGGATGCTACAACTCATCAATTGGAAGGAATTCCTTCCAGTTGAAAAAGTTACTATGCCTAATCAACCGGAAGGAATTCCTTCTGGTCAATGAAGTTATTATGCCTCATCAACCAGAAGGGATTCCTTCTGGTTGATGAGGTTGTTACACCTCATTGATCAGAAGGAATTCCTCCCGGTCAATGAGGTGGTTACACCTCATTGATTGGAAGGAATCTCTTCCGGTCAATGGGGCTGTTGTTTCTCCTTGACCGGAAGGGAATCCTTCCAGTCATGTGGGAACATCTCCCAAACCCCCTCAAGAATGAGGGGTGGTTTTGGGAGCCAACTCCCATAAAATTAAAAAAAATAATATCAATGGATGGCCAACTCCCAAAGTTGGCCATCCATTTGGAGGAACAACTCCCAAGGGATGTCCAACAGCGTCACAACCTTATTTGGGAGTCATTGATGAATCCTTGGGAGTTGTTTTTCCAAGGCCCTAAATATATATATAAATTTTAATCTTCCTTGTATGTTTTACACCTTTATTCTGTGTAGTCTAAATACATATAAAAGAAAATACCAAGCAAAATAACTATGATTTAAGAATAAAAGGCTTTATAATGACTATTTCATATTATTACCTATTTTCTTGATTTTATATTTATGATTTTAATATTTTAATATGTCTTTTATATGTTTTATGGATTTGATTGCTCTTACCACACCGTTTGGCCACCCAAAATATTATATATTGTTAAATGCAAATCCTAATAATTGGATTCAAGATTTTCCAACCTTAATCCAATTATTACACAACCATGCAAATCCATTATCACAGCACCTATTGGTCCAGTCCAGAATGTGCCTCTTGGCTGGAGAATATAAGCAATCAACATATTCTGTAATGAACGTCATGTCATGATGTGGCCAGCCAAATATTCTTCTCAATATTGTTATAATCCCCATACCCCCCCCCAACATAATCTGCAGGATTTTTGAATATTGATATATAATAGGACGGTTCATGTCTGGCTTTTTAGCCAGTCTGCTGATCAGCTGCTATGCTGGTTTGATAAAATTTTATGGTAAAATTGATAGCTTGTCTGAGAAAAGAACTTGCTTCTTGGTTTCTGGTTGCTATCATTTTCTCTCAGAATATGGGGATATCCCAGTCAAGTTTAATCATCATGCTGTTTCCATCTGCTGGTTCAGTGCTGATTTCACCAATTTTGTTCATACATTTCACTGCCTTTTTTAATACGGCCAAACGGAGCCTAAATGTTGAGCTACACTGTAATGATTATGTATTAATATTTTGGTTGTTGGATCAATGGTTGCTATGGTTAATGATTAGTAAGGTATGTATTAGGTAAGTATCTTTTCTCTCTTTTGGAAGTCCAATTTATTGCTGATGACAATCTTTAAGCAAAATGATACAATCAATCAGATATGTGTCATTCAATTGATGTGACTAATTATTGGTATCAGGCTTTATTTTATTTATCATCACTAAGCATTTATTCTTGGTAGCCTGAATGTGTTTTAATTATGAAGTTTGTGATGATGTTGCGATGAGCAATGAAGAAATTTGTATTTGTGAAGATTTATTTTGCAGTTGTATAAATACTTTTGTTTGCCTTCCTTGTTGCTTTGTTTCTTCTTCTTCCTCATCACAATATTCTTGACCTGTGGACCTACATGCCATACACTGTAGAAGTGCAGTAAGAAATACATGCGAATGCACTCCTACAGTGCAAAAGCGGTAAATCCCGCTCCCAATCCCAATCCCGCAATCCCGCAATCCTCCCGCCCCCCCTCCAGTCAACCCGGTCAAAGTTTGACTTCAAAATAAAACTCTCCCTTCTCAATCACCCCAATAGGCCTTAGGCCTTAGGGTTAGGGATTAGGGATAGGGTTAGGGTTAGGGATTAGGGATAGGGTTAGGGATTAGGGATAGGGGGTAGGGATAGGGGATAGGGATTGGGGATTGGGATTGGGAATACATATGTTACCAAGCAAAAGCGTTCTGAGGGGGGGAGGATGGTGGGATTGCGGGATCGGGATTGGGTGCGGGATTGTATCCCAAAACACTGTTTTTGCACTACAGGAGTGCATTCAAATGTAATTCTTACTGCACCTCTGTAGTGCAAGACCGGTAGGTCTAAAGGTCATATTCTTCGTCTTCAATATTTCATTTGAAAGAAAAAGAAATATACTATTATCTTTCAAAGAGACCTCTTTACCGATTATTAGCAAGGCTCTTAGTTACAAGGGCTCTGCTCTGGTAAGCTTTTCCTCTCGGAAAAGCTTCGTTCCGTTTAGCATACCTGAACCCTAGTACCTAGTACTTCACATACACCACAGATGCAATCATACATCCTTAAGACAGTCTCATGAAATGAACACACAAAAAAAGGCAGGGCCCACTGCCCAGGACACAATCTGAAGACCCTGGTCATACCTGTCTTGTACGAGGTCTAACTATAAAACCCCTTCAAGGTCGAACTGCAAGTGATTAATAACAATGTTATGATTGAGAATGGGATCCTAATTGAATAATAAAGCACTGAGTTGTATAACAGCACACTAGCACAGAGTGATAATGAATATAGACGGACTTGTTCAACAGTCCCATTCTGTTGAATGGTGTCTTGAATGGAGTACCTACACGATCCCTTGCCACCCCTTTTATCCAACCCTTTGTTTTCTACCGCAAGCTAGCCAGTAGTACCAGTAGGAACAATACTTAAACTAGATACGAGCGACGATCATAGCTCTCTCCCTCATTGCGAATGAAGATTAAAACTAAAGTAGTGCAGCGCTAGACTGTAGACATCAAGAAAGGTGCATATAGCCGATCAGAACAGTATTCGCCCGATTGTTCTCCTATTATTAGTCATCCACAACACCTGTTGAACCAATTGAGGTTAATTTTACCTCCACCTGCTTTCTTTTGTTCTTCACTCTCTCCCATCTCTACAATCTCTTAACAACGTCCACGACTAACTTACGGTTCTATCATCATCATCACCTCAGCTGTTCTTCCTCCATTGCTACCTACCTAGCTTGTTACTCTGCGTGTTAGCTGTGACTTGGCAGCTGTGATATCTCTCCAGTGGGTGGATTGCCCTGCCCTGTCGCTACACGAAGATTACGCGTAAGTCTTACTGAGAATATCTAAGCCGCATCAAAGACCTTCGAATACTTTCAAAATCCTAGTCCTACGTTGTTCTCTTGAAAATGTCCCTGGAAGAGAAGCTAGGCCAAAAAATCAGCTATTGATAACTAATTGAAAGCTGCTGCTCAAGTTATGTGAAGACCATGTAAATTTTGTAGTGTGGTTGACACATATCAGTCTGCTATATCCAAATTGGCCTGAGATGTTTCCACACAATCTGGGTCAGTAGGTTTCTTTCACCACAGCAGTGGCAACGGCTGAGAAGTAATCAACTCGACTCGCTTTTTTCCCTGAAGTCTTCCTAGCAGACAAGCAAATTCCTCACAGAAGAAACAAACAAAAAAGTGTGGATTATACATGAATGGATACATATTTATTCATTTCATTCAAATTGTACATTGATATAAGTATAGGTTCAGGAACACCGAAACATATGATAATAATAGTCATAAGAGGAGGAAGAAATATTCTGTATGGCTACAAGCAATGAGATGATATCAAAATGATTGTAGAGGCCCGCCAGATTTGTACTTTTTTCTGGAAGGACTCATTGAGATGATGTTACAATAATCGATAGCAAGAATATCAGCTGAACGATATATAAGGTAAATTGATAAAAAATTGATTGAGAGTCAAGATGGATAGCTATTTCGGGTCAGGGATGAGGCTTGGAAGTTGGATGAGGGAAGAGGACGTGATGATCGTCGAATCTGGCGAGTTTGAAGCGGATTCTAGTCTGGTTAGCTTCTAGGAACTCGTCGAGAGCGCATCTCGAGAATACGACAAAGTCGGCCATAGAGTCGAGGTTAGTTTTGTCTAGCGGCCAACAGAACCTGTAGGGGCGATCGACGCTCAAGAGTCTAGGGGTGCTATTGCGCTCGCGGATGCGCATATGCTGGAGCAAGGCTTTCAACTTGGGCAAGCCGATCGTTCTGTAATTCCTATCTGACTCTGCTGAGTTTGTCGATGCGGGCGAGGATGAAGAAGAGAGAATCCGATCAAACATCTTCTCGGCCGAGAGCCAGGATGCCTTGGACATTTCCTGGTAGTTCATGATGCGCTTCAGTTTCTTGAACCCTTCCAGTAGTTTCTCCGTGTCTGTTTCGTGGGAGTACGTTTGTAGTAATATCGGCCTGTCAGCTTCGACCAGTCGGTCGAGAAGCAAGCTTTCGTACATTAAACTGTTGGGACCGATTAGAATATCAATAAAAAGAGGAACCTATGAGTAAACGATTGGCAGATAAGGTATCTTCAGGAAATCAAATGCTTACCAGATGGCATGTGTAAGTTGGATGCCCGACCGGCGAGTCGTCGATTTAGCGACCTCCAAGAATCCGATCATGCTACTCCACTGAGAACACTGATCAGCCCGAGTCATGGTGGGTCTCGTGAGCTCGGTAGCCAGGAAAGATTGTGTGAAGAGCAGGAGCGAGTCCACACATCCAACGGCCGCTAAGTCGCTCATCACCTCCGCTTCTTCTGGGATCGGCGCCCTAGGGTCAGACAGGGCTGCCCGGGCTTGGGATATCTGCTGTCGTTGAACATCAGATAATCTCTTGAATTCTCTGGCTTGATCCGCATACCTACCAATGAAAGGAAAAAAAAGATGAAACTCGTTTCAATTAGCAATCGTTCATGTCATTGGGAGAAGGTCTATATGTTGACTAACCGGGATCGCATTCTCTCGAGTTCATTGCTGTTGTAGTTCTGGACCTCCCATCCGGTCCAATCAATCTCTGGGTTACCCTTCTCTTTGCCCTTAATTGAGACCGCTGATCGATCAGGCTGTGGTTCAAATGGAATTTTAGCATTACGAGCTGATTCGTATCTCGGTTCGGGATGATCATTCCTTCCGTTGGTGAGTTTGGATGGTTGGTCAGACGGAGAGCTGAATGTTTCAGGAGAGGTTGAGGAAGAGCTGGCAGTAGCTGTGTGGATGCCGGTTGTGGTTATCGGGTGGAAGTTGGCGGATGATCGGTTCGAGTTGTGAGCTGGTCCAGCTAAAGATGTGATGTTTCAAATACCCTCAGAAAACGCTGTCCAGGACCGTAGAGTATTTACAGTATTATGAATGTTTTGTGATTGCTCACAAGGTTGTTTCCACTCGTTCTGGTCGTTTGACTCAGTTGGATGCCTGGCTTGTTCCTCCTTGACTTCTGAACGATCCCAGTCGTCAAGACTCGAGCCATAATCGCGAAAGATGATCAAGTCCGGATTGATATCTTCGAGTTTTGATGGCGGTGACCAGGGTGGTAAGTCGAGTGGCAATGTGAAAATCTTGAGGCCGCTGAATTTTTTCAAAAGCTGTTTAGTTTGCGTGCAAATAAATGTGGAGAATGGCACTCTTAATCAGCCTTTGGGTTCTATATCAATCCGAGTTGGTCACGAGATACAGGGCCAACTGACGTCATGGACCTGCTTTCGCTCTTCCGGATTTAGCCTAGGAATGAGGTGAAGGGACGGATATCAGTCACAGCATGAAACAAATTTGAACGTGTGTTCCGCAGGGAAGGACTTACTTAAACTGAGGTCTGATTGGCCTGTTCTTCCACCTTCCGGTGTTCGATTTCACTGGTTTGGTATTGGATAGGTTGTTGGATGATCGTTTCTTTCTGAGATTCGACTCCATTTGTTTCCCCGGGGTGGAGTGAGAGATGGTAGTTCCAGCCATGTGGGATGTAATGTAGGATGAGGGATGTTAGGGGAGATGAGGTTGGTGGTGGGATGGTTTTTGGTCGGTTGGGACTGAAGTGTTTTTCCTGTTGACCGTTGCAGTGGGCGATGGGTGGTGGGGTGGGTGGCTTATATAGAGACGTCCAGCCGAGCAAGGCTGAGTAGGCTGAGCTGCTGACATAAGCCCGAGCCGGCTGAAGTGGTGTATGCACTTAGACCGACTTAAAACGGGAAAGATATGCATTTACATATATATGCATTCTCATCATGATGCATCACGCAGCCTGATCAGCCAGCCTCATCCAGCCCCATCCGAAAAACCCCCACAAAAAAAACCAGTATGCTTATACTGGGTACGGAAGCCCAGGGGGGACACCCATCGAGCCACCAGTTGATTTTTGATTTTTGATTTTTTGGCAGTAATACAGATGTACAGATCAGCTGTATACTCCGTAACTCCTCTGATTTCCGACCCCCAAACACATAACAGGATATGTACAACATAACACCTGTTATGTGAAGCTCAATCACTGGCACTCTCTTCCCTTCAGGCTTTGATTCCCCCTTACATACCCTCCAGACCGGTCTGTTTGCCAAGGACCGGAGCCAGTGATCAAGACGATCTCCCTGACATTGGGTTGAATGATTGCTTGGACCGGCCGGTCCAACAAGTCCTTGGACCGGCCTGTCCAACGAGTTCTCGGACATGACTGTCCAACAAGACGTCAGACTTGCCTGTCCGAGCAGATGACTCCGCCTGGCCAATGCTCGGACGAGCCAGTCCAACGACTCGCCGGACGGCCGTGCCCAAGAGCCGCTCGGACAAACCCGTGCAAGGGCTCATCAGACAGGCCGGTTCAACCGGTTAGTCTAGACAGTGTGACATACTCGCGCTTGGCCTACGACCGCTTGCCAATCGCGGTTGACCGGGTCTTCAACAAGGCGCTTGCGCTTCTGCACCTCAGACAACGACGATCTGCGGAGCGGCCGTGGGCTCTCCGGTCTGCTACCCTCCTCCTCCTCCTCCTCCTCATTGGCGGACAGATCTAGCTTGGAGGACAACCGGCTCAAACACCCCTTCCCATCCGAGCTCGCCGACGATCTTGATCCAACGCTCCTGTCTCAACTGTCGCTCTCCCCGGCTATAGGACCCGCAGAGCCATTGGACCCCCCTGCGATCTTCGTCACCGTTGAGTGCCCGGAAAGCGCGGCCTCCTGGCAGATCCGGCCGGACCTGTTTGGTCTGATGTCTCATTCCGAGGACGGGTTGAGCGAGTCGACCTCCTTGTCGAGTTCGCAAGAGCCTCCCACAATGCCTGTGATTTCCCATACAGCCCCCCTTATTCAATGGAGTTGTAAGTTGAGGAAGATTATGGGAGCTGAGATGGACCAGTCATGCCGAATGTGGCTATCTCAATTAGGATGCTCGGTGGCCAGTTATAGGGGATATGTAACTTCCTCATAACAGGTGTTATGTTGTAAATATCCTGTTATGTGTTTGGGGGTCGGACATCAGAGGAGTTACAGAGCATACAGCTGATCTGTACATCTGTATTACTGCCAAAAAATCAAAAATCAAAAATCAACTGGTGGCTCGATGGGTGTCCCCCCTGGGCTTCCGTAACTGGGTCCCATAAGACTTGATTGCAGCAAAGCAGATTGTCTCATTGCTGACTCACAACAGAGCAAAGAGGTGGGCAAAAAACTACTGGAACCAGCATCAGTCCATCTCAACAGATGCATATGCACATACTTCATAGCTACAAAGAGTGTTCCAAAGACCTCTTATCCAGACTGAGACATCACAAAGAATCAACCGTATCAAATCCAAGCATTGATTTGTGCAACTCATGATCAACCAATCATAGAACTGTCTCACTCTAGCAAAAGGAATTCCAAATCCAATCATAGGATTGTGGCTTGAAATTAAATTTGATTTGAACACAGAAAATATATTTATCCAAGAAGATTACAAAATGAGACAAAAAAGTGATTTCTACCAGGAATATAGAAAAAATATTTGAAGAACAGAAGAAAATATTAAATATGCATACATAAGGATTTTGAACAGATAGTTAAAATTCAAGGCCGATTGATGATGATTGAGTTTAGTGAAAATCTAAATCCTGTTTTTTCTTGGAGCTCTTTTGGTTGTGGCTGCTCCACCAGGGGCCGATGTTTCCAAGTATACCATTGCATTTTTCCATAGAACGTTTGGACTTGATTTCTTGATCATACTACCAGCCTTCAAAGAGAATTAAGGTTTAATTTCTATTTATCTGTATAGATGTCATTAAATCTCACTTACATTTGTTTTGCATTGTTGACCTATTGAGTTAATCATGTCCCAATAATAGTTTTGATCACTTTTCCATAGTCAAAGATGAGGAAAAGCCAAACTCAGCACAATTGGAGTAAATTTGAGTTAATTCTTAATTAAATCAAATACTGACTCTGGAAGAAACATTCGATTAGAGGATTTAAGATAGACCTATTTGCATGGGGTTTTCATGTTTCAATTGGAATCCACATGAAAAAGAAAATCAAACTTTACTTCTTTGAATTAATCTTTTGACCATATGGACTTACACTACATGTCTTGGTCGTGATCCTGATCTCTACATTACTTTGTGTTCCAAAGAACTTTGGAATTGAACTAATTAGTTGAAAAGAAGAGATAATCAGATCCAAAACAGCTACAGATTTTTTTCCTTTTTCTTATTCTTTTAATTTATAAGCCACAAACCTTATACAATCTTGCAGGTTGATCGCACTTGGTAGTTTTGAAGTTCCACAAGTGACCTTGTCCAGTGTCACCTTATTATTACCAAAGAATATATCATTAGGTTTTGGTTGGTCAACAGTAAGAACAAATGTTGCGTTTGGGCGGGCTGCCGGTGCGTCGATGGACCAAGGCTGAAAGAATTGACTCTCAAATCTGATCAGAATTTGACAAAAGATTCAACCAGTTCTGGTGATGAAAGTGCATACAAGGCTTTTTGTACATGTACCAAAGAAAACGTCATTTGTGGCTTTAAATACGTCTTTTCTGAGTGCAGCGCTGGTAGTGGAGAGATTCAAACCTCAGTAAAAAGTAGCTGCCTTCTAACTGTCTGAATTTTATAGTGAGGTGTAATCACCCTGAGTTTGGTATAGATTCTGTACTGAGCTGGTGGGAAAAAAATCCAATAATTCTTAGTCTAACTGTTAAATTCTAATTATTGATTGGGGTATTTCAATTTTCATGCATTTGAATAAAAACCCTTACAAGGCATCCTCCATAGCGGACAACGATTTTTGATTCACCCTTAACAATTGAGTCATCAGTCCCAAATTGAATCATGCGACTCGCTCTGTGTTTATGATGGAACATTCAAAATCGATGATGAGTAGACTTGAAAAACCAAAACGTTTCAAAATGGGAGAGCAGAAGTAACGATGACCGGTGGAACTGGAGTCACAGGGAGGGGAAAATCGGAACAGCCTACATTACACAATCATTTTGGTCCACTTTTGCCGTAGGGCACTGAGCCTGGGCTTGACGGATGGACAGTGAGAAGTGGGCTAGGACGCTGATCATGATGAAGAAGAACTTAGAAGGATACATTTTGGTTGTTTTTCTGATTTGACACTATAAAAATGATGTGATAAGGGTAAGAAGTATCGCTTCAAGTTCGACCTAGTGAACTCAGGCTAGATATAGGTGTTTTCATAACTGGGCCAAGGAAGTGCTCACTGTGGAGGGTGTGTTGCCAACGTCATCTGACAAAGGCCTTAATATCAGATCCGGGAAGAGGTGACCAACTGAGTCATTTAACCTCATAATATTAATGAATGGCAGCTTCTGACACCCAAACCCAAAGATAAAAAAAAGCGACCTTTCACTTCCGAAGTCTTGGATTCTTGGATTCCAATCGCCAAATGAATGTCTCTCATATCTTTTCGACCCCTTAACAACCCACGGAAGCACCTTCCATTTGGCGTCCCAGTTTTCCCCCATTGCTTAGCATTGATTACATACATGAAGGCATGATTAACTATGTAAGTGGCACGGTGAGGTCAAACTGGGGCTGATAGATTAGTGGTGCTCAACACTCCCAGTCGGGTCGGTCGCCATCCTAACGGTTTCGGTGGTGCCACCACTGTCACTTAAAATGGGGTTGCTATTATGGCGGTGCCCTGCCAGGATCTCCACGGGGCCCTGTTGTGACGCACTCAGTGCACTTGTAGGACGCCCAGTGCTCGCTTCTTTTGCGTTGCCAAAGTTCAACTTTGCCGGTGCCGATATAAGCACCATGGAGTCGCCTCATAGGCGATTCGGGCTGGCCTCTTTGCTTCTCCACCATGCACCTGGGGGAAACTGGGCCAGCGCGCCGCTGTGGCACCTTCAGACAGGCCTCCGAGGCGGGTTTGGTCGGCCCACTCGGCGTCAGACTGGACCTCCCTTAAGGGCTGCTCCTGTTGATGGGGCTCTTCTCTTGCATGGCATTGCAGCGGTTCGAGGGTGACTAGTTTGAGTGTTACAGCATGGCCGTCTCCGGGAGTCGACGAGGGGCTATCACAACTAAGTTGCCCCGGGAACGCTCTCACAAAGCAGCCACGTCGGAAGAATGACGTGAACTTTGTCAACGAATTCCCTGTCAGGCTGTTTGTGGCCCAGGTTACCATGACACACGGCGGCTACATACCTGACCGTGCAATAACGGCATGCAACATTGGTCTGGCCGGCGCCGTTCGGTGAACATGGGGGATCTTATTTGCCCATGGAATCAGGAGAGGCGTCCAATATGCATTGGGCTTTATGGAGACAAAGGACTTTGATTTACAAGATAAAGACTTAAGGTCATGGTAAACTACTAAATGGGGAAGACATGTAAAAGTTAAGGGTTAACCAATCACAACTAGACAAGGTGGGGGATAATTGCAGGTGTGAATGTGTGGCCAGGCTGATGCTGCTGATGTCCCATGGGCCAATTATCAGGAGACTGAAGGTATTTAAGTTGGAGGTTGGAAAGATTTTTTTTTTAAATCTGTGATTGATGTTCAAGTGACTGGTGGCCAAATATGTAAGAATTAAAAACAAATTGCCCAGTTCACATAGGGCACTTTTATGGCATTTGGTATACAAACCAAGTCTGCTTGTCACTCATTCTTGAGCAAAGTGTGGGGTTGCACCATAATTTTGGTAAGATTTCTTTTCTATCTGAATCTTAATTGGAAACAAGCAACTCCTTGAACAGATCTGTTTGAAGTTCTACACACTTTTTGAAAATAAATTATTAGATAGCAAAATACAAGAATTCAACCTCCAATGTTTCTTCCTCCTTCTACACTTGAAAAAAATGCCGAAAGCAAACTCTCACTATCCTTCATTAGGACAGTTCACATTTGAGATTGAATGCTGCTACCCAGCACTGCTTGCTGGTTTGTGAAATCTACTATCTCACCAGCCAAGTTGGCTTGCACCTGTAAGCCTAAACTTTAATTCTCTTCTGGTTTGAAATGTGCATGTTGGCTTGCTGAAGAATTTCAAATTTGAACCCCCCCTATTGAATCAAAAACAGCTACTTCTCCATTTTTTATGTTAACGTTATTCAGCTTGGATTTCAGTGAATTCATGAGCTGATTTTGCACTGTGATAGCAAATTTTATCCAAAATTACATCTGCTGAAATTCCAGGGAAGTGGAGGACTTCCCAATCCCATCACCTTAGAAAATCAACTTGATTTAGAAGGGGGTCCTCAACTATATTGGCTGTCAAAAATTGATCTTGATTGATTTTTGCCAGCAAGTAACATATAGAATGTCCTTGTAAATTAACTGATTTGGGAAAAAGGAAGTCCTCTACTATTAAATTTTTTGGGGCATTGATGAAATAACAGTATAAGATTGCTAAAAACCAAAAGACCAGAACCAAATATCTGTTTTAAGATTGAGAGACAGACAACTGATTGTTATTTTTTAAGAACAGGAACAAGAAGAAGACAGGAACTGAGAGAGGAAACATTAGTAAACAGGATTTGAAAGAGGAGAAGGAAATCCAATTGAGGGTTATTCTTCTCACCAAATTGAAGTTTAAGAGTTGAGATAATTTGAGATCTGAGAGTGTGCTTTGAGAGTGTAGGTTGATATTGTAAATGTTTTAGAGATGATTGAGGGTTGTTGAAGATGATAGAGATAACAGAAGATAAGAGAAATTGTGGAAAAGATTAAGAAAGTGAGAAGGAAGAGCACGGGAGAGAGTTGAGACTGATGAGGACTGGTTGTTAGGTTTGAGTTCAGTATTGAGTTGTCAAGGATTTCTGTTGGGTGTCACAAGGTCAATCAAGTGACATTTTAACAGGCATCTTCCCTAGATACCACACTTGTACTTTATTGAAAGAATTGTGCAAGTGATGGATCTTGTTGAAATTACCAAAGTTTTTGGATAATGTCAAACTGAGATATAATTTACAATAGTTACCCTTGGTTTATCAAGATTTTTCTGACAAGGAATGGAATATTTTCTAATCTTTACAAATCTAACTTGAAGTTGAGAGATTTTGAATCATTTTGAATGGTACAACTCACTGAAACATGTAAGCTTTAAGCCTCTTAGAGCCATATACCTGAAACATTTATTAGGAGACATAGTGCAGATTCTCAGAAAATTTATTTGATTTGATTTTGTGTATTGATTTCTCTGAGTGAGCAATCCTTGTGGTCTGTTGTCCTGCAGGCAACCAACTTCAAGTAAGGTTCCTATCCGGACACCGAACATCCGACAATACCCAACCGGATACCCGGTCGGGTCGGGTCTCGGGATGGGTGCAGATAAACCCGGTATCCGATCGGATACCGGTATGAAAAGCAGCATGTGGTTCAGGCAGAATCGGGGCAGAGGAGATGCATTTTTTGCTTCAATCCTCTGCTCTGTGTTTGTGGGACCATAAATGAATGTATTGTTTTCTTCTTAATCTTATCGTTTACCTGGCAAACATTATAAGAGCCGGATTTGGAGGGCTGGAGATATCGCCAGACCCAGCTTTTCTTGTTGGTTCTGGTGCTTTCAGCCTTGACAGGTGCCTTCACAGGCTCAATGTCGGAGCCGGAGTCAATATCAGTCGGTTCTTGTTCTTCAGCGCCGCGTTTTGGTGGCATTTTTGGATGGGAATGTGTTGATGGTTGAGCGACTCTCATCCCTGACCTCGCACGTCAGCTTTTCATCCATTATCCGTCGGGACCCGACTTCGGCACCGGATATGCCGGGTCGGGTCTCGGGAATGCAGTACCCGAACCCGGGAGGCCGGATAGGAACCTTAACTTCAAGTCACCTTTGTCATGAGATGCCATGTCAAGGCTTCTCGCATCATGTCACAGATCGGTGGTGCGAACAAGGCGAGCCAGTCAGTGACATCTAGCCTATCGGGCCTTTCTATGGGAGAGACCTGCTCGGAGTAAATCTTGAACGGGACCACCAAGGCTCATATTGCGCATCATGTCTGGATTAGAAAGTAAAGTATCATCTCACTTCTCATCCTGGATGGTGGCCTCCCTGTCTAGCTTACTGATCTAAATCTCATCCAACAGAATCCCTTTTCCAGCTCAAGTTTACCGCCAAACAATTACAGAAACAGTCCCGAAAGGCCGCCAAAGACGAAGTAACTGAGAAAGCCAAACTGAAGAAGGTCAGCAAAACTCACCATCCCCTGTACATGAGCAGCACATGTTGATGCTCTCTTTCGTTTCTGCTTCTTTTCGCATCACGCTATACGTACCGCTCGACAATCGATCCTTATTTCAGGCCTTGCAACAAGATAACGTAGATGGAGCGAGGATATATGCGGCGAATGCAATCCGTAAACATAACGAATCCTTAAATCTGTTGAGACTGTCTTCGCGCATCGACGCCGTCAGTAGCAGAGTTGAAAACTGCCGTAACTATGAGGAGCGTCACATCGAGCATGACAGGCGTTGTAAGGGGCATGGACCGAGCGATGGAAAGTATGAACCTCGATCGCGTAAGTGCCCCAGCTCCTTTGAGCTACCGCCCAACCTCGACACTCTCTATGCTCTCGATATATTTCAAGACTAAGATAAGTTGATAACTTTGATGTATTTTTTGTGTGTGTGTACAGATTGCGATGGTGATGGATAAATTTGAATCTCAATTTGAAGATATGGATGCCCAGGCGGGTTGTATGGAATCTGCGATCAGTCAAACAACAGCGTCCTCGATGCCACAAGACCAAGTGGATTTACTGATGCAAAAAGTCGCTGACGAAGCCGGATTAGAGATCAAGCATGGATTGGGTGAAGTGCCCAAGTCTTCGGTCGGTGTTGCCGAACAGGAACCGGTGGCCAATCAAGAAGCACCGGAAGACGCATTAGCTCAACGCCTTAAAGCACTCAGACCAGCAACCTGACCGGATCCCTTTTCATATACTTTCATCGAAGATTGCCAAGATCGCAGAGCACACCTTGATCTATCCCTCATTATTTATACCTTCCGATCTATCATGGTTCCTTATCAAGTCACGCAACTATTTAGGCTTAGCTTTTGCAGATTGCCCGGTGTATTAACCCTCCCTGTAAAGTGCTAGTGTGTAGATGGAACAGTGTTTATTTATTTATTTAGAAAGACTTATGTGTAATCTTATCAAACACCTTGTACATCTCGGCCCCAGTTTGCTTTTTTTGAGTCTGAAATGCGCAAGTGGGTTCAAGCAAGACCCAGATGTATGGCGAGCCCATCAACACGATTCACGCTGCTGAACCGGCGAAAATACCAAGCCATCCGGCAGCACACCAACAGCCTGCATCAGCATACGTTAAGGTACGCCCCCGTACACAGGCAAACTGAGACTTGGTTGTTTCCACCCGCTCGAAGGTGCAATGCCACCTCGGCGACCAGGCCCTGGCCGACCGAAGTTTAATGTTTGGTCAAGCACATCGGATCAAACATCTCCTTTTGAGAGGCCTACCCCAAGTTCCAATCACCCCTTTTGTGGTCACTTTGATCATCGCAACGAGACCCAAGCAACTGCAGTCAGCTGGGATACCGAGTGATGCGGAGTCCTTCCAGTGTTCCATCAAGTATTGCTATATAAGGCGTAGGTTTGTCTGCTTGCTTCCAGATTCGCGCTTGCTTTTTTTACCTCCACTTTGTTTCCTTTTCGTCTCCATCGCGGATTTCTTGCCGCCACGTTCATCGGACTTTTCACTTTCTTTCTGATCATCTTTCCTTGATTCTCAAATCGGTTTTAAAAACCTTGGCTGTCAAGAGCCTTCTCACAACCACATTGATTTCGGACAATTTATTTAGATATCTCACTGGCTTTTCCACTGTTTGTTGTCAACAACATCGCGTTGCAAAACGTTCATTTCTACAATATTACATAGACAATTTCCATACTTCTTTATTATCCATCCTCTCCGATTAACAACTACATAGTACTAGCCATTCCAAGGCACAAGCGCTTACTACAGATACCTGGTCCTGATCTGGTCGTTTTTATAGATCAGCTGAACAAGTACCGTTACAAAGGGTAATTGGGAATTCCAAGCGCCACACAAATTTTCAAATCGCAGGTTCACTTCTTGGTACATATCCTGTGTTTCGTTCAAATATGCATCAGGAATTTTGCAGATTGCAATGGATTGGTATTGCAATCTTTGTTAGCTTAAATATTGCATATACAAATCAAACCCCAACCAAACTAGCAGCTCGTGATGGTCCGGCTCCAGCACTAAGGCCCAAACGTGAGTGTACATGACACATAATCCAAAAAAGTTCTGAGACTAAAATCATCCTCTTTACATTAGCTGTAATGGGGTGGAACTCTTTCTACCCTTCGGGTTGTGAGGCTAACGTAAATCGTAAGGATCTGTTGTGGCATGCAGACTTAATGGATCAGAAGGGATTCATTAAAGCAGGATACAAAACGTTTATAGTTGAATGTGGATGGGAAAGAGATCTAAAGATAAAGGAGGATTACAAGATAGAATGGAGAGTAAGTCGTTATAGTATTTTCAAACGATGATTGAACGGTGAATCCTGATTCCAATGATCAATTACTGTGATCAATAAAAAGCCTTGGAAAAAAGCCTACTATAGCCTACAAAGGCCAGATAATTCTGATACTCTTGCTGCAAATTTGAACCCAAAAGGACTGAGTCTTGGTGTTGGCACATGGGGAGGGTCCGTTCTCATTTTCCAACATGCTTGATTGCTGAAGAAACACTGCGGACGAAAAGGAATTTAACTGTGTTTATACAAACAAACCATACAGGACACAAATATGCCCCAGAACCAAAGATGAGGGATCTGGTGTAAAGCCTTTGAGAAATGCTGATGATTATTTAACCTATTTGGTGAATGTTCGTCGTGTTGCCTATCTTTCACACAGACCGTGAGTTCTGATATATTTCTGACAAAGTGAGAAACTTGAGACTTAGGCTGATATTTATGCACCTCACTCAATACTGCAGTTGTGACTGGGCATCACCAGGAAGATTGCAAAACATTGACCAGGCCACAGAATTGAATGTATGTCCAAGCCTAGTACCCTTTCTGGATTTTTTACAAAGCTGATGATTTGTAAGAGAACAGGGACGCTATATTGAAATGGAAAACATAATAAGCCGTCATGCTTTCCAGAATAAAATGTTTTATGCGTGAGTTGAATTATCATTGATCATCACCATTGACTTATTTTGCTAACTGGGTTGGGTACAAATAGCACTGGACAGTGGGGTGCTTCACCACAAGCCAGCAAGACTGAAGTCAACAGTCAGAGAATAGCAGATGATAATGTTGACAGCTGGAATTCTTTGTGAGATTGAAAATGAACTTTCTACATTGTTTTGATTCCAGCTGAATTGGCTTTTTTTATGTCTGAACAGCATCAGGACAATCAATGCACTTTACCCATATTCCCTACAGAATCAGGGCCCATACAATGACCTTGGATGGCTCCAAGTGGGTGATAATAAACTATCAATGGTTGAGAAGATAACTCAATTTTCATTTTGGGCAGCGGCAAAGTTAGTTCCTTCTTCTTATTTCACAATCAGAAACAGAAGATCTAAGACATTTAAAAATTCTCTTCACACTTTGTAGATCTCCCCTCATATTCTCAAGCGACATCTCCCGTCTTGGACAAGCTGAAATTGATAATTTGCAAAATCCAGGGGCAATTGCTATAAATGTGAGCAATAATTTTACCCTGATGAATTGATGTGAGAATACATTGCTATGATTACATACACAATGTTGACAAATGTTTAATTTCTACACAGCAAGATGATCTAGGCCAAACCATAACCTTAAAACACCGATATCCTGCTGATATGGATGTATGGAGTGGGCCTTTGAAGGATGGAAACACAGTTGCAGGTAAGAAAATCAAGCTTCCACCTATTATTATTTTTTGGAAGGAATTTGAAACTCACCTGCATATATCAATTCAATCACAGTAATTATAAGCTGGTCAAATGATGCCACAACCAAAAATATCAGGCTTGATGATTTGGGGTTTTCATCTGCACACATATTTGATGTAATGACTGGAAAGGACCTAGGGGTAATAAATGAAGTGTAAGTCCTTTTTGGTTTGATATTTAAGTTTCACATATTGGTTGAACTTTGTATTGAACTTTGTGGTATGAAATGATTTAGTTATACCAGCAAAGTTGAGGCGCATGGAAGCTTGTTCCTAAAGCTAACTGAAACTAAGCCAGCTCCTGAAAAGAAATTCATAACCTTCCCAGCTGAACAAGCTGAGATGATTGGTTCAGCACAAATAAGATCAACCTCCCGTGGGGTTAAAGTGGTATCAAATCTCCAGGCTGATGGGAAAAGTGCATTGCGCTGGAATAATGTTCCTGGATCAAAAAGTGGTTGGACTCTAGTCAAATTGGCTTACATCAATGCTGAGCTATCACCAGGAAATATGGATGATTCAAAATTGAACTTCAAGCACACTTCCATTGTTATAAACGGGAACAATGAAAGCCCATTTTATGCTGATATGCCTATCACTGGACTGGTCAGTGATTTACTTTTCACAACAAAAATTTCCCTTATCATCTAAATTAAGAGACTGATTTTTTCCATGGGATTTGTACTTTGAAATCTGTAATTTCACAGACCTGGGATGATATGGCCGAAGGATTTCTTGTGTCACTTCCACTAAAAGTGAGTCTTGGAAAAAATGACACACACACATTTTGGTACCTCCAATCTGATGACCAGCCGATTTGATTAATTTGATAGCCTGGGAATGACAACACCATCCTTATTCGGGGAGAAGCTGGGCAACCTGCACCCGACTTTCATTTGTTATCAGTAGAGCAAACAGAATAAAACCTTTCAGAATCAAAAAAATTCTCTTTGTACATTCATTCACTCATGATAGACAGGTTGTTTAGTTAAAAATAAACTGTATTTCTCAAAACTCAATGTATGTACACCATCTTTTTCATACCACAATATAACCTTTCAGAATCAAAAATTTCTCTTTGTACATTCATTCACTCATGATAAATATGTTTTTTAGTGAATGATAAACTGTATTCTTCAAAACTCAATGTATTTTCACCATCTTTCCCATAGCACAACTACCATTTTTTCTTGTAATCTAGACCATTTTTGACTCAATCATGTGTTGCAAACCAAAATATTACCTAGGTGGCAGAAATTTGCTATGTGAATATTAGGGAATTGGTAAAAAGGCAAATTTTGGTGCATGTACTTGTGTAACACACTTGGAAAGCCTTGTGCATACCCTTTCATCTTTCTTCTTCCATGAGGTTTATAGAAATGTGGTGATGTTCCTCCCAGATCACTGAGAATTTCTAGAAAGCTGGTTTTGTATCAGCTTTCCAGAACAGGTATGGTTGGCAATTGATTACCAACCCAGCTCTCTGGGATCCTCTGGCAAGAAAAAAATGCCTTCAAGGAATCCGGAATTCCTTGCAGATCTTGACAAGTTTTAAGCAGCTCTTTGAAATTCCAGAGATAAAACAGCCCAGTTGACATAGGGCGTTTTTATTGACAAGTCTGAAAAGTTGCACTGCTTTTTGCTTTAACTGCTTGCTTATGTTGTTGAGGGGCACAGGGAACAAAATGCAACTGAAGTCAAGACTCACGTGCGGGACTTGACAATGAGAAATTTATTTATTTATTCAGTGAGGAGAAAGTGCTGAGAGGGAGTCCGGTGTTCAGTAGCAGTGGATAGCTTGATATAAGCATAACTATGTACAAGCATTGAGAACTACATACGGGATTCACCATACCAACATATGTTTTGCATGGGAATTCACCAAAACTTGAAGCAGGCTGTTGTTAAGTGTTGCTTGTTGTAAAAATTTTATTTGCAAACAAGAAGCTATGTGAACTGGCCTAATAGGTCAAGCCTAACAACAGGCCCTCACAGGTGGGGGAGTGATAATCACACTTCCTCCCCCTTCAAACACACACTCCAACACTCCCTTCAGAAAGGGAGTGTGGGACCGCACACCAATCAAAATTGGTGTGCGGACCCGCACACCAACCCTCTGCGCGGGCATTCCCCCAGCAGGTTGGCATGCGGGTCTGCACACCAATTTCAATTGGCGTGCAAGGCTGCAAGCCAACCTATACTCCCCTTCTGAGGGGAGTGCGGGAGTTTTCATGTGTATACTTTATACATTATGTACATATTCCCTGGGCTATCCCATAGGACCCAGGCCTGGGTCCTATGGGATAGCCCTGGGGCTTGAGGCTGATGAAAAAAAAAAAAAGAAAAAAAATAATAAAAAACTCCTCGGCCTTGAGACCATACATGCAGCGGTGGGCCGCTACGCTACGCTACGCTTTTGGCCCAAAAAGCGTAGCGTAGCGGCGCTTTTTTTTTCACCAAAAACCGTAGTGTTAGCGGTTTTTTAGCGGTTTTTTGCTACGCTACGCTGCGCTACAGCGCTTTTAGCGGAAAAAACGGCCAAAAACCGCTAAAAACGGCTGTAGCGCAGCGTAGTGGGCCCTTTTTTGCGGCCCACACGCGTAGCATTAGCGGTGTCGTGGCGGAATTCCGCTACGCTACGCTAATCGCTAACAGCGATTCCGCTGCGTTACGCTACACTAACCGCTACGGTTAGTGTAGCGGCCCACCGTTGATACATGGCTTGACCAGAGAGCCGGTTTTCAAACCAGCTTGTCGGAAGGAATCCCTTCCGACAAGCTGTTCTGTATACCAACTCGTTGGGAGGGGTTCCTCCCGACAAGCTGATTAAATCAGCTCTTTGGAAGGAATCCCTTCCAATGAGATGGTCTGTAAACCAACCCGTTGGGAGTGGTTCCTCCCAAGGAGCTGTTCTGTATACCAACTTGTTGGGAGGGGTTCCTCCCGGCAAGCAGGTTTAGACCTTCAAACCAGCTGTATACAACTTGTTGGTGTAAGACTCAAAAAGGTGGTTGTAAGACCCTTTTTGCTGAATGGAGAAGGGGATGGTGGAGGTGCAATCTCTGCCCTTCTATACTATCAGATAACAAGACCCACCAAGCTCAGCTTGGCAAGTTTTAATCAAGTGATAGGGTAAGTTCAGGAATGAGTTTGTGTGATGCTGAGAAATGAGTTTAGTTGTTATTGGTGATTGGTAAGGTTCTGTAAAGGTGGTGTATCTTTGATTGAGTGGTACTAAACTGTGACTGATGAATAATACACTGAGGAGACAACAACTGGGAGGAGAGCCTCCTTATATAGAAAATGATGAGGAAATTTAGCTCCAGGGCAGCCAGTAATGAGTGATTTTGGCTGGCCTGGGCTATTAAATGAGGGGGTTGAGCTACATACAGAAGTTGAATGAGTGAATGTGATTGGTCAGATATGTACAAGAGTTGAAGTGGTGAGACAAACAGCTGAATGAGTGATTCTGATAGGTCAGGTTCTGATGTGTTTAAAAGTGAGTGTGTTGGTGTAAGCTGCAGCTGTCATGCAAGGAAAATACACTAATTTAGGCTGCAGGTATGATGTAATATGTAGAAGTGAAATGTAAGGAGTGTAGATGTATGTAAATGAGTGTATATGTAAATGGGGGGTTGTACTGTACTGAGGGTGTCTGTGTAGCTTGAGGGTTGTAATTGGGATTGGTGACATGTAGTGATGAGTGAAATCCTTGTGATATGTTTTCCATTGTGGGGTAAGAGTTGATCCAGGTGTGTTCCAGTGATGCCTCCATGGTGACCAAGGGTGAATTTGTCCGTAGAGTCCAGTTCTTGAGACGTATGGTGTGATTTCTGAGAGTGATTGGTTGATAATATGAAGAAAATATATATAAGAAAAAATAAAGAAAAAACTTTCAATTCTCACATTTTTGACTACCACATCGGGAGGAACCTCTCCCGACAAGTTGTTTTACCGACCAGAGGCTGAGAGTGAGAGGGATACCTCTTGTTCTGGGATGGTTTTCCTTTCCAGAGGCTTCGCTACCATCACCCCTCTCTGTGCCGCCTTTAAACCTGCTCCTAGACCTCTTATACTTGATCTGACTCAATCAGCTAGCACTACTGATCATGGAGATTTGGTTTGGAAATTGTAGAGTTTTTATTTGTATTGTTCAGTCTCCAAATCATTCTTGCTGGGAGGAACCCCTCCTGATGAGATGGTTTACAGCCCATCTTGCCAGGAGGAATCCCTGCCAACGAGATGGTTTAAAGCCCATCTTGTTGGGAGGAATCCCTCCCAATGAGAGGGTGTACAACCCATCTCGCCTGGGGGAATCCCTCCTGATGAGGTGTACAAAAACCTCTGCCAAGACTGTACAGGTCTCAAGGCCTCCTCTCGGCCTAAAGACTGTACAGTCTTTCGGGGCTGGGAGCCCCGGTTCTTTTTTTTTCAACGGCCTCAAGCCCTGGGCTATCCCATAGGACCCAGGACCAGGTCCTATGCCAGGGAATATGTACATAGTGTATAAAGTATACACATGTAAACTCCCCCACTCCCCTCAGAAGGGGATTATAGCTTGGTGTGCAGCCTTGCACACCAATTGCTGCTGGGGGAATGCCCGCTCAGAGGGTTGGTGTGCGGGTCCGCACACCAATTTCAATTGGTGTGCGGTCCCAGACTCCCTTTCTGAGGGAGTGTTGGAGTGTGTGCGCAAAGGGGGAGGAAGTGTGATTATCACTCCCCTCGCGAGTGAGAGACCAAAGGGCAGCCCACAAGGGTCTCTGTCTCACAGAGAGTCCTGGGTGGGAAGTTGCTCCGCTGGTGTGGTGAATAATACTGTGTTTCTACGCAGAAAATATAAAAATTTCTCATTATCTTGTTATTCATTCAAGATATGGTAAAAATGATATCAAAAATAAAATCCTCAGGTAAAATAACCCCTAGTCACCCACTACAGCCATACCTTTATCTCTTATAGTTTAGAAGTTACACGTATTTCAACCTGTCACGGGATATTTTTTGGATTCTGCACTCTAGCCATATTCATTATGAATACAGGATGCATATTGCATGCTGAATTCCTTTGTAGTAAATTGAATACCTTTACTTTATTTTGAATCCCTTTGTATTAGTGATATTGCATGTATGCATCCCTTTGATCATACATATGCGTCCTTTTATTCATTCATATGCATCCCTTTGTAGTAGTATCTTTCAGGGGCGTTGATAAACGCACGCCAGCCCCCCTGGCGCACGCCAAACCGCATGCCAGGTGCGGATTGAGAAAATTGGCGTGCAGGTGTGCACGCCAATCCGCACATGGCGTGCGGTTTGGCGTGCGCCAGGGGGGGTGGCGTGCGTTTATCAAGCCCCATCTTTCAGCCTGTACCCTGGGGCCAAAATCACTCACATTTGTCTATATAAGGAGGTCTCTGTCTGCCAGTTTGTTCCCTCCATCATCCCACCAGTGGATCAGATCATCTCAACCACCCTTATAAATAAATCCATCTTATATATTATTTCATAACTACAAGTCATAGCCACATTACAATTACAGTTTTATACACATTGAAATACAGATTTAAAACTTTCATCATCATCATATTGAACGAGTGAAAAGAAAGTTTGTGTACTGTGGGACTCGAACCCACAACCTCAGCATTCATGAGTGATGCTCTGACCATTGAGCTAAGTACGCATTGCCAATGTTGAATACATGTGTGATGTATGCTTGTGAAGATGTGATGATGACGTGGATCATGAAGAATTGCCTCCAATGCTGATTAGAAGTCTCACATGGATGTGTTAGCAATGTGTAACAAGCAGTGCCTGAGTTTGACACTTCAACATTCCCCCGTGCTTGTTACAGGGTTGCTAGCAAATGCTACCAATCTTAACAAGTTCAATTATGAAGCAGCATGCGCTACCTGGGCTCATAACC